TTAAAGTTTTCAATATTTAAAATTTTCAGGAATTTAAAACTTCCAGAATTGGTGAAAATTTTGTTTTCGTTTGTTTATTTGTCCGGATTTTCATTTTTTGCATGGATTTCTTTACATTTGGATTTATTGATTGATGCGTTTTGTTCTTATATCATTTAATTTTAATTCAGAGAATTACTTTTTTGTTTCTCCTGTGTATTGGGTGATTTTAGAGAAATGTAAGAGTTATATAGGTACACATCTGAAGCAAATGTCATTTTTTTACATTTGAAATTCGGTGAAATTTTAGCCATGTATTGTCAACTTTTTGCTTTTAACACGATTAGCGTCTAATAGAAAGGAAACTTCTTTTTCATATTCTGGGAAAATTATCCTGTGAGGGTAAGGATTGTTTTCTGGGCAGTTCAGAAATGTGGAATGGCCCCTCCCAATCATCATAAAGTAACTTATTTTTTTCATTTACACAAATAAAATTTGAAAACAAAATAAAGCATACAGAATTTATCTGTTTTGTGATCTTTAAATTTGTTTGTTTGCTTATTGTTGTTAGTTTGAGGTGAAGTTTTCAGTAATTAAGTTGCTCCGCTGATTCTGGTTATGAATCTAAAATGCATTTGGGATTTAGCATTGCCAACTGATCAGTTTTTTGAATGTTTTGTGATTGATGGTTTTATTACCTTTTTGCTAATGCAGCCTGGTCCAAGAGATTTTCCAAACCAGTGCATTATAAAGCGATGCAAAAAGAGCTCAACATTCTACCTTTATCTTTCTCCTACGCCGTGTAAGTGATTTTTTTCTTTTGGTTTTAAAATCCAAGCATGATGATTAACCTTTGCCTTAATCAGAATGACTTGTTCTTAACCTTGAAAATATCCAGAACTTTAAACAAAGACCATCCATCTGCTTAATGATCATTGTTTCATTACCTAGCCTGATACCTGATTTCTTTTTCTAAGCTTTACACTTTACTGTGTCTTGGCCAAATTGAAATATGTTACATTAAGCTTGCAAGCAATTATTTCCCTCGAAAATGTTGGCAGTTTTTTATTTCATTTCTTGAGAGAATGTATAAGGGTTTTATTGTTTTTAGCCAATCAATTTCCTTATTTGTGGCTACCATGCAGCTAGATTAAGTTAGTGAATTAGTGGTTGATATCTGCCTTATTTGAATATTTTTTTCTTGATTTTTGGCAGCATTCACCGATGAGGGGAAATTTCTATTGGCAGCAAAAAGATATAGACATGGTGCTCATATTGAGTATATTCTATCCCATGATCCAGATGATATATCTCAAGGCAGCAATGCCTATGTTGGGAAGTTAAGGTAGGAAACTTGTATGATGTTTTAGTGATGTATTTTGTCCTGTGATCCTTCTCTTTTTGGAACGTTGAAAGAAGCTGCACTTTGAACTTAGTCTATCTTTTACAGTTCTTAGGTGAGATATGGTTGAATTTGAGAGAGCATGTGGAAGATTACTCATATGGTGGGGTAGCTGTCTTTATTTACGATGCCATTACTTTCTCTTTTTTGTCATGTTATAGTATATATAGAATACCTTGGACTTTCTTTTATATCTTTTAGTTGACTCTCGCATGTAAATTTAAAATCTTTGCAGTTCGGATTTTCTAGGCACCAACTTTACAATATATGATAGTCAACCGCCACACAGTGGTGCCAAGCCTTCGAGCATTACATCAAGTTGCAGGTTTGCGAGTAAGCGAATCAGCCCCCAAGTTCCAGCTGGCAATTTTGAGGTGGGAAAAGTGTCTTACAAGTTCAATATCTTGAAATCAAGAGGTCCGAGGAGGATGGTCTGCACTGTGAAATTCCCTTTGCCGGAAGAAATGACCAACAAGCATTTAGACGACTCCAAATTGAAAATGCCCAAGAATGCTGCACCTGGTCATGCAATTTTCAATAACAAAGCTCCGAGATGGCATGAACATTTACAGTGCTGGTGTTTGAATTTCCATGGTCGGGTAACAGTAGCATCTGTGAAAAACTTTCAGCTGTCTGCGACTGTAGACCCAAGCCAACCAGGAGGGAAAGGAGATGAGGACATGGTTCTCCTCCAGTTTGGGAAAGTTGGGGACGATACATTCACCATGGATTATAGCCATCCCTTGTCAGCCTTTCTTGCATTTGCCATCTGCCTAACAAGCTTTGGTACCAAATTGGCTTGTGAATGATTTTCTTTGAAGTGTTTATACTTAAACTGTGTTACATGTTTAATATAAATATTTCTACATGTCAAAGTTCATAAGTTTTGGACAGCCTTTTTTTAATGGTACAGAGCAAATGATGGTACACGTTCCTATAGCGCATTGGTTTGAGACATATCTCATGTTAGCTCAACACAGTTTCCATCAAACTAATAGGAGTTAATGGCTTAGCAACAAGAAAGGTTGAAAACAAAAGGAGGTGAAATACGAGCACAATCATGCTACTATATATTTCCAAGCATAAAAATCCAATTGCAGCAAGCTAAAAGGGTCGAACGTATTTCACAATTCTTGGTGTTTCTAGTTGCTGAAACCTTGATAAACATTATGGAAGGAGTGTGTCTAACAAATAATACGAAACTCGCCAATGCCAAACACAAACAGCACAGTTCATCCCAGATTACATGTTACAGTCGAGCATGCACACAAACTTCATTTCATGGTCATAGTCATAAGACATAATCATCACATAAAGACACGGTAGAAAAACATTCATTTACATCACCAGGTTTTAGGAATCGAGAAGTTGGACGGAATTTTAGTTCAGGTTGTTGACCCTCTCACTTTTTCCCTCGCAGCTTTGCACCAAGAGCCCTCTCCAGTTTACCGATTATCTGTTGATTAGGAATGGCTGTTCTAGATTCATACTCCTGTATGATCTGTGGCTTCTCATTGATCATCTGTGGGATGACAGAAAATAGTTCAGTTAAAGAACTTAGCATATAAATAAAGACTCATCACTCTTGAAGAATTACACATGAATACATGCAAACATAGAGCAAGAGGGAGAGGGAGACCTGAGCAAGTTGAGCCTGGGTAAGTTTCTTATCCATTCGATCTTGCATGATGGCTTTCTTTAGTTCAGTCGGCACTCACTCATCTGTTCACGAGTTTAAACATCAACGAAAATTTACAATGGAATCATCCTCGAGAACTAAGGTACCATAAAAGTTCAGTAAGGACTGCAGATAAGATTATTTACAAATGGTTGATGACCAGGTTCGGGGTCATATCATAATAGAAAATCATGTAAACCTAAATGCATCTAGCTTGTTATGGAGGAGATCGCTGAATTGTGTAATCAGATAAATAAACCAAGGTTGCTATGAAGACATACAAAAATGCAATATGTAAATACAATCATAGACACATAATTGATCATTTGATCCTCCAAACTAATGGAGATATAGAGCATAGTTGATCATTTGATCCTCCAAACTAATGGAGATATAGAGCATAGTTGATCATTTGATCCTCCAAACTAATGGAGATATAGAGCATAGGTCATTCAACATGCATAGGACCAAAACAACCCAACTTGCTCAAGCATTATAAGAAAGAAATAAAGAATTTCAAAAAAGGAGAAATGAAAAAAAAAACATTCCCAGGGATATATATGTACCAAAAAAGCTCTTAACCACACAGAAGAAAGAAGAAAGCAATACACACACATACATGTAACATGCTATTAAAGTAAATTCATAAAACCCTCTTTATTAATGTTATAAAACAATTTGTTTGAATCCCTTAGGCTAATAAGTTAATGAAAACTACTGGTTATACAAGATCACACAATTTAGTGCCTAATTTAAATCAATAATCAGCAGACACATACATCCAAGGATGGACAGAAGAGGACGGTGGGACAGTCACCCCTGAAAATTTTCAAATGCGCATATATTTTATACATATATTTTTTGTATTTTTATTTATAATCTGTTTTCGCACCTACAATTTGACATAAAATCTTGCATCTGGCCTTGCTAACAACATAGACATCATTATAATCAATTCCAACATAGACATCATTATAATCAATCCCAACATTAATTCCAACATAGACATCATTATAATCAATCCCAAAATTAATTCTAAACTAATATTATTCTCTTTTGAGCAATTCGTACAAAAACTAAACCATTTACAATTCAGAATTTATTGGGTCAATAGAAAGAAAAGGAATAAATATTTCTTACGAGCGAGATTTTCAGTGTCTTCGTCGAGCTTCCTCGTGTTCAAAGAAGTACTACTTGATGCCGCCCTGTTCGTCCCAGCATTAGCTGCAAATTCCCATGATAAAATTACTTTCACCAAAAAAAAATTAAAAGAATCCATATTGATAAAATATAGTGATTATCTAACGAAATCTGCGGATTTTTGCAAAATAAAAAAATACATTTTTTGATGGATTCAATCTCGGCACCAGCACGGAGGGCGGCGTTAGCGACTTTCTCATCCTTCTTGTCGGCGGCGCTTGGGGCTTTTTTCCTAATAACGATCGGCTCCCAGTCTTGAGTCAAAGGTCCGATTCCGGCCATGGTTGACTTTGTATATTTGGATGTCAAAGCTAAATGAGGATCCTTTTTTGACTTTGGATACATGGATTGGGCTGCTCTTCATTTCAATCATTCGGACTCGTGACTGTATTTTTTATGGGTAAAGTATACAAATCATCCCTCGTTTATATAATATTATTTTATTGAGCTCTCTAATTATTAACAATTACGAAATGGTCTTTACTAGTACGAAACTATTCTGTTGAGTCTCTCAACTTTTAAAAGTTATAAAATGATCACTTAAGTATTCATAACTCGTCCTCTTTCTATAAAATATTGATAATTAGTTGTTTCGCCTAAATATGGTTCAAACAATTAAAAAGTATACTAAAGATCGATTCTTTCTCCCTTCAGTAAACCAAACCCTTGAAAGTAGAAAATTAGAATAACAATCATAGCCCAAAATAGCTAAATCCCTCCTTATAAGTTTTCCCAACTTTCACAAGCTTTAATCATCCAAGGAAAAAGAGAACAAAAATAAATAAAGATGGCAAAAGTTTCACAGATCGCTCTTTTCTCCTTGGCGATCTGCCTTTCATCCGTCCTCGACTCCGTCAGTGCCGCGCAGGTCAAGTTCATCGTCGAAGGCAAGGTTTACTGCGACACTTGCCGTGTCGAATTCGAGACCAGAATCAGCGAACCACTCAAGGGTATGTAAATGACATTATGACAAGTTGATATGTTGATTTGTTGGTACATTGACAAGTTTCACTGTGTTGATGTTGCAGGCGCATTAGTGAACTTGGAATGCCGGAACCGTACCAACGGGACGGTAACCACGATCACCAAAGATGTCCTAACCGATGACGCCGGAGCATACAAGATCGAGGTGGAAGGCGATCACGCGGAAGAGATCTGTGAAGTGAGTCTCGTCAAGAGTCCAAGGGATGATTGCCGTGATCCTACCGAGGCATGGAGGAAATCCAGGGTGGTTATGACGTCGAAAGACGGCATCGAAGGCATCCAACGGTTCGCCAACAATCTCGGGTTCAAGAAGAGGGAGCCTCTCTCGGAATGTACTGAAGTTCTTAAGGAGATGGGATATTATGAACTTCAAGGAGAAGAAGGCCATTCCTATATCCCTTGATCACTTCCACCAAACTTTTGCCATTGTAATAGAAATGGGGTAAATTAATTGCAATAATTCTAGAACTAGTCCCAGTTTATTAATAACACACTGCTACTAATAAGTAGCTAATTTACTCATACATATTGTTTTTTAACATCACGTATGAAAATAACTTCCTCTCAAAATTAAAATTGACATCTATTTTTATTAATTTCACCGACCCGACCGTTGACATGTGTTATTTTAGTAATTAATTCAAAATATGTGCTATTTTAGTAATTAATTTAAAAAGGGTGCTATTTCTGTAAAATGATTGACAGTTTGTTGACCTCCTTTGACCAGAACTTTGATCAGCTTTGGCAAGCTATTAAACGACCGTTAATCTTTTCCGAGAATACCTATCCTGACATTTTTTGATGTCCCGAATCCGTTTTTGGGGTCTGTTTCACCAAATTCGAATCTGAAAGTCTCCAAATCGTCAGTCAAACCCGTTGACTTTGATTTTGACCAAGAATTCAGAATTTCGGAAGGTCATACTTTATGTTTTTCGACGTTCTGAATCTGATTCCGAAGTCCGTTTTGCCAAATTTGGACCTGAAATCCCTGAATCGAGCATGTGAACCCAAAAGGCTTAGTATTTTAATATTTTAATTATTTATTTGAGATTTGGTTAAGGAATTGATTCAATAAAATATTTTATAAAGGTACTCGTGTTTCACCTGAGCGAGGATCAGTTAGGTCTGGAGTTGTTCGTTCGTCAGATCAGTCTGAACCGCGTACTACAAGAAATACCCGTAGGTTTCGTATATTATTTAAATAAATATTAAGATTATTTATACTAGGATTCCAATATGGATTTAGACCCAAACCTAAGTGGTCACATATCCCATTCAGAGATTTTTTTTATTTAAAACATCTTATAATACATTAGATATAATACAGAACAAAATGTTAATAATACAGATATATCCAAAACGATAGCAATTGCATCTCACCAAACATAAATGAAAAACATATAGAGATATAAGTTCGTACAAAATAAGTAGTTGATCTCTCCTGATGCCAAATCTGATAGTTTACGATCTGCTGCTATCTGAAAAAGGGTAAAAACTACAGGATGAGCTAAAAAGCCCAGTGTGCACCATACAGTGTATATAAAAACATATTGATAAAAATATTCCAGTTAAATCAGTTTATGCAATTATGTCATTAAAAATATAAACACTACCCCCAGCCCATCACAACAGAATGTGTAGGTTCCCCAGAACCATACACCCAGCCCACACAACAAATAAGGCCCTGAGCACAAAACCGAGGAACCTGCGGATATACTTCATTCAACAATACCCCCAATGATAGAGATGTTCATGAATGTATTTGAATGAAAACCATGATTAATTCTTTAAAACATAAAAGTGTTCATATTTGGAAATCATATACAGAAATACGGAAATCAGAAGACAAATCAATAGTATACAGAAATTCAGATATCAGATAATCAGTATTCAGAGAATCGGTATAAAATACCATAACCAGAAATCATATAAGAAATATACAGTAAATCAGATATCAGATACACAATATTCAGATATATATTTTAAAACATTACTAATGTAACACTGTCGGAAAACACACCTGTAACAGTCTGAGAAATCAGATAGGGAAGCCTATTATTGGGTTTGTCGATCACGCTCTGTTGCAGCGCTAGATCCTACGAATTAGAAAAAAATCCATATTGGAATCCTAGTATAAATAATCTTAATCTTTATTTAAATAATATACGGAACCTACGAGTATTTCTTGTAGTATGCGGTTCGGACTGATCTGACGAACGAACAACTCTAGACCTAACTGATCCTCGCTCAGGTGAAACACGAGTACCTTTATAAAATATTTTATTAAATCAATTCCTTAACCAAATCTCAAATAAATAATTAAAATATTAAAATACTAAGTCTTTTGGGTTTACATGCTCGATTCAGGGATTTCGAGTCAAAATTTGGCAAAACGAACTTCGGAATCAGATTCAGAACGTCAAAAAACATAAAGTATAGCCTTCCGAAATTCTGAATTCTTGGTCAAAATCAAAGTCAATGGGTTTGACTGACAATTTGGAGACTTTCGGATTCGAATTTGGTAAAACGGACCCCAAAAACGGATTCGAGATGTCAAAAAATGTCAAGATAGGTATTCTCGGAAAAGATTAGCGGCCGTTTAATAGCCGGTCAAAGTTCTGGTCAAAGGAGGTCAACAAACTGTCAACCATTTTACAGAAATATCACCTTTTTAAATTAATTACTAAAATAGCACCTAATTGAATTAATTACTAAAATAACATCGGTTAACGGTCAACGGTCGGGTCGGGTCGGTCAACGGGTCGGGTAAACAGTCGGGACGGGTCGGAACCGGTCAAACCGGTCAAAACCTTTAAAAACCGGCCAAACCGGTTATTTTTGCCTTCCCCACGCGCAGTGGCGACGAGTGGGGGCGCGTGCGGCGTCTATAAGTGTCAGAAAATTTACAGAAAAATTCCTAAAAATTATTTTGAGCGATTTCGAGATACTTACAAAGCTCGGTTCAAATTTTTGAACGACGGAGAGCTCGATTTCGACAAATCAGAAACTTTGACCGCTTCACCTCCCCACGCGCCACCGTCGACGGAGACCAAGGATGACACCAGCGGACTCAGAACGGCACAAGGAACACGATGGTGCGGGAGGTGTCGTAAACGGAGCAACGATCGGCGATGAATTTAAGATTTTCTCGGCGATTGAGCTAAAAAAAGGTCGAGACTTTGACTTGAAATTCACGGCGTTTGGCAGCGTTTCACTTTAATTAATTTAAGGTGTTTGTTCCTCGCTCGATGACGAACACGATGGTGGTTTTAAAACGACGATCGGAGGTCGGATGGCGTCAAAATCGGGTTGGGAAGTTGTGTGAAAAAAAAAGAGAAATTTGAGCAATTGGTTTCTGCCGAAACCAATTGCACGTCTAAATAACCAGAGCCTGCCGACACTTCAGGAGTAAAATTAGGGCTTGATCCCTGAATTTTCTTTAACTCTAAAACAGACTACAAGTTTTAAAACCTTTCAATTTAGTCCCCAAAATTTACCAATTTATAAAATTAAAACCTCAAATTTAATGTAAATAATATTTTCAAATTTCCGGGTTGTTACAATTCTCCCCCTCTACAAGAAATTTCGTCCTCGAAATTTACCTTATGAAAATAGATGCGGAAATTGAACCTCCATTGACTCCAATGTCTCCCAAGTAGCTTCTGATGGGCTACGATTACTCCACTGAACTTTGACCATTGGAATACGCCTATTCCAAAGAACTCGCTCAACCCTCTCTAAAACATGAACATGCTCCTCCTCATATGATAAATCAGGTCTCAGTTCTACCTCGTCAACCTGAATGATGTGATCTGGATCTGGACGATATCGCCTCAACATAGACACATGAAAAACATCATGAATACGACTGAGCTGGGGAGGCAACTCAAGCTGATAAGCAACAGGTCCAACTTTCTTCAAAATACAATACGACCCGATAAATCGCGGACTCAGTTTACCCTTACGTCTAAATCTCAATTAAATAATTAAAATATTAAAATACTAAGCCTTTTGGGTTCACATGCTCGATTCAGGGATTTCGGGTCAAAATTTGGCAAAATGGACTTCGGAATCAGATTCAGAACGTCGAAAAACATAAAGTATGACCTTCCGAAATTCTGAATTCTTGGTCAAAATCAAAGTCAACAGGTTTGACTGATGATTTGGAGACTTTCGGATTCGAATTTGGTGAAACAGACCCCAAAAACATATTCGGGACGTCAAAAAATGTCAGGATATGTATTCTCGGAAAAGATTAACGGTCGTTTAATAGCCGGTCAAAGTTTTGGTCAAATGAGGTCAACAAACTGTCAATCATTTTACAGAAATAACACCCTTTTTTTAAATTAATTACTAAAATAGCACCTATTTTGAATTAATTACTAAAATAGCAACTATTTCGAATTAATTACTAAAATAGTACCGGTCAACAGTCAACGATCAACGGGTTGGGTCAACGGTCGGGTCAGGTCGGAACCGGTCAAACCGGTTTTTTTTGCCTTCCACACGCGCAGTGGCGGCGCGTGCGGCGTCTATAAGTGTTGGAAAATTTACAGAAAAAATCCTAAAAATTATTTTGAGCGATTTCGAGATACTTACAAAGCTCGGTTCAAATTTTTGAACGGCGGAGAGCTCGATTTCAACAAATCGAAAACTTTGACCGCTTCACCTCCCCACGCGCCGCCGTCGACGGAGACCAAGGATGACACCGGCGGACTCAGAACGGCACAAGGAACACGATGGTGCGGGAGGTGTCGTAAACGGAGCAACGATCGACGATGAATTTAAGATTTTCTCGGCGATTGAGCTAAAAAATGTCGAGACTTTGACTTGAAATTCACGGCGTTTGGCAATGTTTCACTTCAATTAATTTAAGGTGTTTGTTCCTCGCTCGATGACGAACACGATGGTGGTTTCAAAACGACGATTAGAGGTCGGATGTCGTCGGAATCGGGTTTGGAAGTTGTGTGAAAAAAATTTTTGAGCAATTGGTTTCTGAAACCAATTGCACTTCTAAATAACCAGTGCCTGCCGACACTTCAGGGGTAAATTCAGGGCTTAATCCTTAAATTTTCTTTAACTCTAAAACAAGGAACAAGTTTTAAAAACTTTCAATTTAGTCCCCAAAATTTACCAATTTACAAAATTAAAACCTCAAATTTCATTTAAATAATATTTTCAAATTTCCGGGTTGTTACAACTTTATTGAGTCACTCGACTATTAAAAGTTATAAAATAGTCATCTAACTATTTATTATGCTTCAAATTCGTCATTTTTCGTTAAAAAATTGGTAGTTGTTTATCTATATGTTAACATTATGACGGAGATATGATAGTCGTTTGAGATTTTAGGATCAAATTTTATCATGTCACAGTCAACAAGCTAACTTTCAGCTCGGAATATCTTCCTTTTTTTAACAGAAAATGACAAGTTTGGAACATAATAA